TGGCGGTGGGCTGGCTGGGCTTATCTATGGAGACGTCTTCATTGGGTCCTATGAACAAATTCCATCTCAGGATTATCCTTAAGAGAGGAGCTTCTGTAATTTTTCTAAATGTTTGGTTGTTGTTTCCGTGGAGAATAAGTAAATGCACAATGGCGGTCAAATTGTGTGCTTGTCTTTGAATTCTCGGCTGTTAATGCAATTTAATTTTATGAGTCAACGCATCTCAGTGCTCGTTTGAAGTGTGAGTGAGTAAAGCCCGTATCAAATTAGCACATACTTTCATATTCTCATGCTAACACTGTCTACGATGGTTGATAATCAAATGAAGACAACTATGACCGATACGAGACGGTATAAATTCCGACAATTACGAGGGCAATTTTCAAAATACAACTATTTTGTCTGATTCTTAAGAGCTTGGGGCTATGATTTTATTGCATCTCCTCCGTATTCTTCGACTTCAGCACAAAATCAAGATACCCTTGACTAACATTAAAAAGAACGCACCAACACATGCTTACGGTGGATGAATGCACGCGTGCAAGAAAAATAAAATGGATAAACCGAATTTGAGTATTGTTGGATTCCGGATATATCATCTATTTCTTTAAATAAAAGATTATGCATAATGTGCAACTTTTGTAACATCACTTCCGATATCTATCCATTGAGCGTTACAAATCTCTCTGGTACCTTAGCATCCTGATGTTCGTTGGAATATGTACTACAAAACACTAATATCAAAGATCATATGTAAAGCATTCAGAATCCTGACTAAAAATACTCAAAAAGAAAATTCAAGTGAAGTTTGCTTCTTCTTGGCCTTTGAGCGAGACTTTGTTTCTGGTATACAGGAAACATCAATAGATGCTACCAGACAAAGGTGAGAATGATCACCTAGTAACTCTGTACGCCTGCAAAAAGAGGGAGGATTTTACATTAATCATCAACTCCAAGGAAAATTGTATTCATAAATGCAAGTAAGAACTAGAGTTCTAATTTGAAAACATGATGTCGAGAGAGGAACCACATTTATATAAGTCATGGCCGATATCTCATGAATGTACATATCTTATGAGCAATTGAGCATCAAGTAAATGTTACCTTCACTTTTTCCAAAAGCTTTTTGGCATCAGCATTATTTTTGAAGTGATCACGGACAGGCTGCAAGTTGCAGGTTCATGAGATTTTTGAATGACAGAACAATAAATAAGCAAATGAAATATATAGTATATAGTATATACGTTATATATGACTAAAATATTTAGAAAAATGAACAAATCAATAGCTGATATGTGCAAAACAGACATCTTAGTACACTAAGTACTTGACTACAAAGCTGAAATCTTCACCTTTAGATATACATGTTATCCAGTTTTGTTCGTTCCAACCTCATGGTAATCAAGTATGCATACTTTAAAATTCACAATTTTCATAAGTTATGATACATGATTTTGACCTTCTTGGCCTTGACTCGGTAGCAATTAAGTAGGCGCACTTTTTGCGATTTACATTGGTTATGGAACAACAATTTTTGTCCATTTTTTGTTCTTTTTAACCAAACTGCAATTGTGTACATGTACTTCAAAATTCATAATTTTCATGAGGCTATAACCAACAATTTTGACCATTGCTGTTCATTTTGACCCCACCGCAATTAGTTACGCGTACTTCAAGTTTCACAATTTTTATAGGCTATAATGCACGATTTTTGTCCATTTATGTTCCTTCCGACCTTATGGCAGTAATGTTTTGTACTTCACAATTCATGATTTCATAGGGCTATTACCCAGAATTTTTTCCCCTAACTTTATTCCTTTGGAGCACATTTCAATTAACTATATATATCTTCGAATTCACGATTTTTTCATGTACTATAGTGCACGTTTTTAACCATTTGTTCATTTTGACCCAATAGCAATGAAGTATGTGTACTTCAAAATTAGCGATTTTCATGGACTATAACACGATTTTTGTCTACTTTTGTTCATTCGACCCAATAACAATTAAGTATGTGTACTTTAAAATTTGCGATTTCATATACTATAATCATGACTTTTGTCCATTTATGTTCATTTCGAGCCAATGACAATTACCTACAAGTACTTCAAACTTCTAGATTTTCATGAGCAAACGAGTATGGCACTTCATAATTCATGGTTTTCGTAGGCATTAATTACAGTTACTTCAAATTTCGCGATTTTAATGAGTTATAAACCACAAATTTTGTTCATCCAATCCGATTTTTGTTCATCCAATCCGATGGCATTAATTACAGTTACTTCAAATTTCGCGATTTTAATGAGTTATAAACCACAAATTTTGTTCATTTTTGTTAGTTTCAACTTATTAATAGTTAAGTACGTGTATCTCCAAATTTACGATTTTTATGAGCTAATCCACGATAAGTGTTCATATTTTTGTTTAGACCGAATGCAATTATGTATGGGTATTTCAGAATTCATTGTTTTCATGACAATATAACCCTTGAGCTTATCCTTTTTTTTTTTTGACCCAATTGCAAATAAGTATCTATACTTCATAATTTGCAATTTTTAGTGGTTATATAACTCATGATTTTTATCCATTTTAATCCTTTTCAACCTAATGACAATTTACTTCAAAATCCGCAATTTTCATGGGCTATAAATAACATACTATATTTGTCTATTTTTGTTCACTTCAACCACATAGCAATCAAGTATGCTTGCTTCAAATTTTATGATTTTTATGGGTTATATAACCTATGATTTTTATCCATTCTTGTTTGTTTCAAACCCAATAACAATTAAGTACGAAAATATCACGATTTTCATAACTATAACACGGTTTCTGCCCATTTTGTTCATTTCAACCCAATAGCAATTAAATGCACATACTTCAAAATTCGCAGTTTTCAAATATTATGACCCACGATAGTTGTCCATTGTCGCTCGTTTCGACCCAATGGCAATTAAGTATGCTTACTAAAATCCTCGCTATTTCCATAAACCATAACTCAACCTAATAGCAATTAAGTATGTGTAATTTAAAATCTGTAATTTTAATTGGCTTAAAATTTATGATTTTTATTGGCCGTAACTAATGATTTTGTCTATTTTGGACCCATGGCTATTTAATACACGTACTTTAAAATTCACGATTTTAGCAGTTAGCCCATAATTTGTTTCCACTTTCATTCGTTTCGGTCTAATAGGAATTAAGTATGTGTATTGTGTATTTCTTTATGATTTTCATTGACAATATAATCCGCAATTTTGTTATTTTTTGTTTTTCCCGGCCAAATAACAATTAAACATGCATACTTCATAGTTTGTAATATTCATGTACTATAACAAACAAATATTTTCCTTTTTTAAGTACATATACTTTCAATTTTGATAATTTTTTTCTTTGTTTCGATTTTAATTTTTTTCCTTTATTTCGACTACATTGCAATTAAATTAATGCATTTTCAAATTCGTGATTTTACTGGGTTATAACCTATGATTTTGACATTTTTAATCGTTTTTGACTCAATTGTATCATGTTTCTTCGAACCAATATCAATAAAGTATAAAGTATGTATACCTCAAAGTTACTGACTTTCATGGGCTATAAGCCATGATTTATGTCCAACTTTTTCTGTTTCGATCCACTAGCAATTAAACACGCATATTTTAAAATTATTTTTATTGGCTATAACCCATAATTTTGTCCATTTTATTCGTGATCCAACGACAACTACTTATGCATACCTCAAGTTAGTGATTTTCATGGACTAACCCACATTTTTGTCCATTTTTACTTGCTTAGACCCAATTAAAGTGTGAATATTTTAAAATTCACGATTTCCAAAGGCTATAATTAAGATTTTGACCATTTTCCTTCGCTTCAATCAAATTTCAATAAGTACTTGTACTTTAAACTTTGCGACTTCATGAATTCTAATGTAAAATCCTTGTCCGTTATTGTTCATTCCAACCCAATAGCAATTACATACACATACTTCAATATTCATGGTTTTCTTATATTATAATTCACGATTTTAGTCCCTTTTTGCTCATTCTGTAGCAATTTAGTACACATACATCAAAGGTTAATGATTTTCATCAGGCTATAACCCACAATTTTTTTTTTGTTCATTTTGGCCCAACTGCAAACAAGATCGTGTACTTTAAAATCCAACTTTCCATGGGATATAAACCCATGATTTTTGTCTATAATTATCTATTTCAACCCAATGGCAATTAAGCATTAGGATACAAAATTCCTAATTTGCATAGACTAATTGACAACTTTTGCATTTTTGTTCATTTTAACCCAATAACAATTAGGTATGCTTAGTTCAAACATCGTTATTTTCATGGACAACTCATAATTTTTGACTATTTTTGTTCGTTTTTACCAGTTAGCAATAAGGGCATACTTCAAAATTTATGGTTTTGTGGTCGACATTTCTTGATTTTTGCTCTTCTTTTTGTTCAATGGCAATTAAGTACTTAAACTTCAATCTTTTCCATTTCCTTGGCCTTAAAAGACATAGTTTTTGTCCATTCCTGTTTGTTTCGCCCCAATTGTAAATAAGAACGCGTACTGCAAGATTTCTAATTTTCACCCATAATTTCTGTTTATTTTTATTTGTTTCGCCACAATCACAATTAATATGCTTACTTTGAAATTTGCAACTCGCATGGGCTATAAACCATAACTTTTGTCCATTTTTGTTTATTTTGAGTCAACGACAAATACATACTAAAAGTTTGTAATTTCAAAAAGGACTATATCTCACAATTTTGGTTCATTTTTGTTTGTTTCGACTGAATAGCAATCAACTTAATTAAGTAGTGTACATCAAAATTCGCGGTTTTAATGGCTATAACCCACAATCGTCTATTTTTACTCATTTTAACCCCATGACAATTAAGTATGCTTACTATAAAATTCATGATTCATGGGCTATAACCAACAGTTTTTGCTTGGTTTTAACCTAATAGCAACTAAGTTTGTGTACTTTAAAATTTGTAATTTTCATTGGTTGCAACCCACGATTTAAGTATATGTACTTATAAATGCGAGATTTTAATGCGCTATAACCCATCAATTTTCTTTACTTTTGTTTGTCTCGACCCAATTGACTTGAAACCCAATCTCAACCCTCCCAAACCGCCGACTTTAGGAGGGTTAAGAAAGCGGATGATTTGCTACTTTTTAGCCCTCCCCTCCCCTCCCTTTACTAATTGAAAATTGTAATCCAACACAATTTTTTATGGTTAGCATTAAGCATTGTAACCATCCAATCCCTTCCCCTCCTATCTTCAAAAAACCATCCAAACTCACTGTAGATGAGAAGTTCTGGATCCCAGACAACAAATTTTATGAATAGAGAAATTACATGCTTTCATTAGTGTTGCTATTTGTTGGCCCAAACTTTGGCCCATTACCAATAGGCCCAGTTCCCTCCTTAAGAGCTGATGTGCCCTAGCTCCTCTAGTTTCTTCATCCTACCCGATGGTTCTCACCTCCCCCAGTTCTTCATGATCTGATGGCCGCCGCTTGTGAGTCCCATCTCCCATCCGTAGGTCGGCTCCCTTCTTCGTTTTCTCCCTTAGCCTCTCCCGTGTCGGCTGCCCCCTTCCCTATATAAGGGTAATGGGTTGGTAGTAGCCACGATGAGGATGTAGAGGAAGAAGAAAGAAGAGACTGTGAGCTTTGTGCTTCTACCCGCTGTGCGATCCTCTCCCCTACCTGAGCTCTGTGCTCCTTCAAAGCTCTGTGCTTTTACCTCTTTGTGAGATTTGGAGAGAGACTGTGTAATAGTTGCTTTTCTCACTCCCTTTGTGTTCTTGGTGGTGCACTGGAGAAGAAGATCGGACTGATTGAGCAGGCTTCTGAGCCAAACAGCGACAAGATCCACAACGGTGGTATCAGAGCGAGGTTAGATTTGTCGCTGTTCTTCAAAACCACCGCCGCGCCGCTGGACCACCGCCGGTCGCCGCCCCTGGACCTCGCCGGACCGCCGCCGCGTGGGTAAGGTCGAAACCCTCCCCTAGGGCTTCGCTCAGGTGAGGTGACAAAAATCTGTTTCTATAGTTATTAGCTTGATCTTGTCTGCATCGCCATTTTTGCTGTTCCTCTGCATTCAATCTGTTTGAATAATTACAGTTAAATCAATGGTATCAATT